ATATATATATATATATATATAAAAATAAATACATGCTGTTCCTTTATGTATAATCTTATTTTCAAGATACTTTAATTTATTGGTCTGAGAAAGGTCAAGCTTCTGTCAGCATATATAAGACCATTGCATTTCACAGAATGTAACTGATCTAGGATAATGTTTTTTCCACAGCTTCAAGTAGTGGGACAAGGCTACATAGAGGCTATGTAGAAGAAGCTACGTTAGAAGACAAACCACCACAAACTAGTCACATTGTGTTTGTTGTGCATGGTATTGGGCAGAAAATGGACCAAGGAAGGATCATCAAAAATACAGCTATGTGAGTGCTTCATAATATTTGCAGTACCAACTCTAGATTGAATAAAAGGCTGATATTATTTATAAATAACAGCAGAGCCTTTGGTTTAAGCTGCATCTTTTCCTGTTTCCTTCTCCTCCTCTTCCCCTGCATCATTAGTCTTTATATTGTGGGTATGCTACTTTCTGTGTGAATTTGGATGTGTGGACTTAGTGAGAGCAGCTGCAAGCCAGAAGAGCAAAGATACATTCTTTTCATGACCAATGCTTGCAGCTCTCAGGGGTCTGGCCTGTGAATTTCTAGCACCTGTGGGGCAGTGACTGAGGAGGGAGAGATTTTTCATTTGGTTTAAATCACGAGGAATCTCCGTTGTTCCCGCTGGTTGTCAGAATAGCGGGCAAGTGAAGTACATACCAGTAAGAGGGGAAATGGGGAGCTAGCAGGAATGTTGGCATTCCCAACAGGACAGAGTTACTTCATACAGTTGGAAGCTATTGATATGAGTCTGCTCATCAAACTCTGTGCATAGGTACCTGATAAAAAGTAAAACAGAACTGAAAGCTCACCAGATCTTTTCATTGAAAGTCTTTTGTGAAGACTGGTTTGCAGATGGTTTTTTGAGTTAACATCTGAGTTAACTCAGAAGGCCACTTAAGGTGCTGGTGGATGGGAAGAGAAACTCCTGAGCTATTGAGAATGCTGTACCTGAACAGATTTTTGAATATTAGAAGAAATTGTAAAGTCTTGATGACGGCATTGTGGGAGACAGGGTGGTGTTAAGGAATGCTTCATTAGCTGAAAGAAAAGTCTAATAAAAAAACCAAAAAACTATTAACTGCAGATCTGTGCTGTACAGATGGTTTGGTATGTGCGTCCCAAAAAGTTCCACGTTCCATCAGCTGACAGGAATAGTGACATACCCAGTGATTCCTGTGAAAGCGTGTAGAGCTGGGATTGCTGACTTGGTGGCAAGAACTTTGTGAACCTCCCTTTAAACCCAGAATGGCAGTGTAGGTCAGTGCTTATGTGCTGTCGCTGTGGTGTGTACCATCGTGTCAGCAGGCTCTTGTGTTCCTTCAGCTCGTTGTTCCACCCTAGTGTCCTCTGGTGTGGTCTTGATTTCACTGCTGTGTCATTTGCCATCTCAAAGCCACAACCTGCTACTCCCTACTCCCCTTGTTCTGGCACTTCCCTGCTCTTTTATTCGTGTTGTTTAGAGCAAGCAATCAAAACCAAAGAGAAAAGGATCCACAGACCTTGAAGTTAGTCACCAAAATAAATGTAAAAACTGAAATTTTTGTAGGATGTAATTACACTGGAAAGGGAAATACCCTAAGTGCAAGTTGCTGTTTTAACAGCAATGAGAAATAAAACTTCTACTTTGGAATCATTAAGGTTTTCTGCTTTTTCTTTCTCCCTACCCAATTTTCCATTGAACATAAATACGGGGGTTGCATGGGTGGATTAACTTCAGCTCAGGACACAGTGCAGAGGCGTTCATTCCAAAAGAAGTCCTGCTTTAACTGCCAGCCTGTTATGTAAAATCTTTTATCTCAAAGAGAAACAAGACTTTTTGTACTTCAGTAAATCTTGCTCATATCCTCAGGAAGTATCAGACGGTATTGCACAGCCTTTTAAAATGCTAATTATCAGCATAAATTGTGTATTCTGTACAAAATCTGCAAATGAAAGCATCATTTTAGATTGAAGTGGGTTTTGTTTTGGTTTGGTTTTTTTTATAGCTTAAAACTTATCAGTGAAGAACATCCCATATGTTCTAGAAGAGATTTTAGAAGAAATGTCTGCCAGGCCAACACAATGGCAGCTCCCACAAGTTGTACTAGCACTTTCTGTTAGCACCTTCATCTGTGATATATGTGTGTATTTTTTTTTTTTTTTTTTACATTCTTTTGAATTAGGGACACGGGGAGTCAAATGCTGCATTTTGAAAAATAAGAGGGATAAGAAGAAATGTTTTTTGATTGTTCACACTTTAAAGTAGAAGCTAAGGAGAAAAAGGCTTCAGTGTTTGTTTTTTTCTTTTAAATGCACATTCTTTAGTAGGAAACCTGTAGTTGCAGCCATGCTAAATCTGTTACTTAAGCCATAGGTCTGCCCATCACTGTACTCTTCCCTCAACAATATCTGGGTACCACCAGCAGAGGTAGAAGGCACTGTCAGCCCTCAGAGCTCATCATTGTCTTGGGCTGTGTGCAGCTTCGTAGGACTTGGATGTCACTTGTGATACACACGTGCTGGTGTGGGAACCCTGGGGTAAGTGATGTGTGAGTCCCTTAGAAATAGAAAGTTGCTTTTGGTTCGGGCCCCAGCACATCTGAGAGGACACATTGCTCTGCAGAGTGCCACCAGTCCTCTCTGTGGATGTGGGAGCGTGGATGGGGAGAGAACAGAGATGAGGCAGGTTGGGCAAGGCAAACTTTGTTACACCTTGCTTTTTTTTGTTAGGTTGCTTGGAGGAACTCTGAACAAGCTATTTCCTTCTGCAGATCCCAAGTGCCTTCTCTTTCTACCATCCACAAAAAAAAAATCTCTTGTGCATTTTGTCTTTGCCATGGACATTTACGGTTGCTTCTTTTTGAGTTCATTCTACCCTGGGTTTATCTCAACCTGTGTGAGAGCAACTCTTCAGTTCCTTGCACAGAAACATAGCTTCACATGAACAAGTGATCCTAAAAGAAAGAAAAATAAAGAAAAAGTGCAAAAATACATCTTATAACCTAGACATGGAATACTTTATCTGTAACCCAGGCTGGTGAGAGACCCTGCCAGAGCTCATTTGATATGCTCTGTCCTCAGATTACCGCCTTGAAGATATTGGTGCAGCTCACATGATGCATCTGCATCATTAGGCAGATCCTGTTGGTTACAGAGGTGAAAACAGAACTCCTCTTCTAGGGTAATTTAAAATTACATACACTAATTTCATTAAAGAAATGGAGTTCAATCTAATCATTAATGTGATTAGACAGTAGGGTTGCAGGGTGCCCTGTAAGTAGGTAAATGGAAAAGATGCGTTTTATCGATGCTTGAATGAACAGGTCTTTGGTAGATGTGACATGATTTTGTTTCTTCACAGTGTAGTTAAACACATTTATTATCTAAATGTAGTACAGCAGCTGGTACAACAAGCTGCTCCTGTCAGTGCTGATATTAACTGCAGAACTCGTCTGGGAAGAGACAGTACCTCCTCCAGGCTGGAACAGTGATTCAGCTGACCTAACGTGAACAGAATAATGTGCTGTGAGCCACTTCGGTAGCAGAGGGGTGATTACTTAAGGAAGAAGATAGCATAGTCTGTATTTCTGTGTGATAGAAACAGAGATATTATGGCATAATCTACTTAACTGGAGATTTTTTTTATTTGCCATCAGGTTCAGTATTCTGACGTTACTAGGTTTCCGAAAAGGTGTAATGTTAACTTTATAAAAAAAAAAAATTGCTTGGGCATAACCTTTTATTTTACTGTACACACTTTCATCTTATTTGGAATATTTTCTCACTGAAGCTTAATCTCTGATTTTGTTGAACTTGTGCTCCTCGATTGGGTGTGTGGGGGGTGTCCTTACACATTAAATAGAATTTAGGAATGTTACCATACATGTTACCAATTTCCTTTAAAAAAAACTCCGGTTTTTTTTACCTGAGTTAGGTAAAGGTCAGACCTTTAGGCTGACCTTCTAAATTTCATCAGCTCCTGTGCTTGAAAATTGACTGAATTAACTGTTCTATGTATTTCCATAATAGCTGTAATGCTCTGACACATCTTGGCTGCTCTTACCCTAAAGCTGGTATCTGTCTGCCTCTGTCTGAATCTCCTGTTTTGATTCAAAAATTATATTTGCCTGCGCTGCTGCTTAGAGCACTGAAATTGCTGTCTGCACAAGCAACAGCATCTTGGCGTTCCATAATCACCAATTACATTTTTATTGCAAGTCCCATTCGAAAGCATTTTAATTGTGGATTATCATTATAATAATTACTTCAGAATAGCTATTTTGGTAAATTTCCAGTGGCATGCAAGCCCTTAAGAGTGCAAGAGCCTCTCGGAGGCCTTTCAGTACATTAAATATGTGCTGCTGGAATCTTAAATCAAGATTTCCTCTAAAATTTTTTCCTATAACTTGGTAGTTTTGCTTATTTTCTATTTCACCACCTTTATTGCATTAAATACATATTATGTGCTTATTTTCCATTCTTTGGTGCTGGTAATAATTGCATGTTCTTCTGAAATTAAGTATTCAAATGGTAAAAATTGTCTTACAGGTTTCAACTTGAGCTTGTCTTGCAAGCTAAGTGAGAAGTTGAGTCCAAAAGGTAAAAGGTGATAGTTAGGGCATTAAATACTTTCATAAGAGCTTGTTTTTTGTACATTTTATTAATTAACACATGACTGCATCAATTGGATGGAAGCTGTAACAGCCTGTTTAGGACTTAGATGTATCTCTAGGTCTGTTCTCATTCCCATCCTCCTCCAGCCCTCATTTTTGCCCAGTGCTGCCCTTTCCCTGCCCACCCCAGCACGACTGCCTGTATGTAAACTGGATCACTGCAGTCAGTCTGAAAAACTGGAACCCTGTCTGGAAGATGGGAGCGAGCAGTGAGGAGGCAGAGGAGGACAACGGGGACAGGGAATGACGAATCTGCTTAATGCCAAAGCCAACATCTCTCTGAGGGGTAAGCTTGCCCACCGCTTGGAAAGCAGTGCTGGGGAGGGGGGCACTCGCCCTCCGAGCACTTGGATCTCCACAGGCTCGTCTCAGAGATCCCATAGTCAACTAAGCAAGCAGCGTGAGTGCCTTTGATCATGCAGCATCCCATTATCCTTGAAAAGGATGAAGTGTGAATCACGATCATGCTTACTTTGTTTGCGTGCTAGAATTTCCATTTTCCTTCAGGAGTACAATGAGTCTGCACATGTCCTAGAGCGGCGGCCTTAATGTGTCTGGTCTGAGAGCAGATGAATCCCTGAAGAACAGTGGTAGAAGTGACTTATGCCTTGCAGTTGCTCTTTGAAATCTGCCTTAAGTAAGACTTGTTTGCATTTCTGCAATGCAGGTTTTGAAAACAGCCTCCCTTTCATTTCCTCTGGCTTGAGCAGATCTCAATTTTTATTACTCATGCCTGCTACTCTCACTTTGACTTACCAAATTTAGCTCAAGCCAGCCCTGAATTTCCTCAATAACTCGTGGTATTATTTCCTCAAAGAGGCAGTGAGTGCTGTGCTGCATTTGGGGGAATTCCAGAGTGGCTAAAGCAGTTGGGGAGTGCTTTAGAGCATCATTTACCAGTTGTGTGACCAAAATCCAGGGATGAATTCACACAGTTTTACAGGCAGTAGCGAGAGTTCAGGTTTTTTTTGTGGGGAGATCCCATTACCCTATCTCTTAAATCAAGAGTTCAGTGTAAGAAGTTGGCTGGTGTAATGCTTTTAAAATTAAAATCCATTCCCCTTTTCTTGGCTATGGATCATGGGATTGAAGAGTCTGCAAAGATGACTTGGGAAAAAAAATGAGTAACATATTCGAGCCTTCAGGCATTTTGCTCTGTTACAAGCTATCAAGGTCATTTTATAAAATTTGTGAACTAGCTGTAGCTAACTTGTTTGTAGCTCTCCAGTTTTTAATGTAGAATTTGTGAATTCTCTACAAGAGTAAAATTAGTATCATAAGATTAAAAAAAAAAACAACACAGCAATAAGCATAAATATGATAACGTATCTCTGGAATATACTTGCTTAAGCAAGGATGTATACCTGTGAAAATACGGTTTTATTATTTTAATCAGAGAAAGGCAGCCAAGCACGTTTTATTTATGGTGAGTCTCAAAGTATCTATTTTCAGGCCATTACTTCTTGCATGGAAAATACCAATATGTCCAAATGCTTTCTAAAGTATGTGTTGCATCTGCACCTGAGTGTTGGGTTGTTGGTTTTTTTTCTTTAAAAAAATCATAAATTTTAGTGGTTACCATGTGTTTCAATGTATAGATTTAAGTAATTGTTGCTCTGGGGTCAGTATTTCAACATCCATTCATATTGGAAAGGAGAAGAATTCTTTGCCTGTTCAGATGAGGATTTATTACTTCAGTTGGTGTTAATTTAGCAAATGAGTAGGGGGACTTACCATCGAATAAAATAGCTCAAAATACTTCTTAAAAAACAGAATAAGGGGGGGAAAAAAACCCAGCACCTTTATAGCAGACCAGATAAGCACGTATATATGCTGGGATTTTGCGTGTGAGCATAGCCACATCGCTTGGCAATTACACCACAGTTTTCCTTAGAATTTATAATATTAAACTATTGATCAGAATCGGTGGGAGATGTTGTATAGTGCCATTTGCTGTAGATGCGATGTGTTGCACCGGGAATTGTTCTGGTGTGTTTTAGTGCCTCCGTGATTCTTGTGATCAGGAGATCCGTGTGACATTACTGCTGTAAAATAATGAAAGAGAGAATAATTGCACCTCTGACAGTATTTGGATAGTAACACTGAACTGGATTGCCTCAGCGTTTAGTGGAAGGCAAAAAAATTAAATATTTTCATAACTCCAGAGTTTGTAACCTGCAGAACTCCAGTCAGTAGTTTGTTGCATTAACCAGCTTCGTAAGGTTAGTGTGCAATGCAGTGTGTAGTGGATGAGCACACCTGAAACACTGAGAAACAATTGCTACATACTCGATTTGACATCAGTGAGGTGGCAGTTAACCAAAATTTGTTGAAACAGAGCTTTTGTCCACTTCTACCAGAATGTATTTCACAAGGGGTAAGGGAGATGCACAGTGTTTGTCCCTAATCGTTCTAGCAGAAGTTTGGGACTGTTCTGCTGGAGGCTGGACCATGTCTGGACAACCTCAGATGATGTGGGGGGAACCCTCTAGATCTGAGTAAAACCAGGTTTTGCATTTCACAGAATTTTGGGTAACAACACAAAGCTGGCACCGCTTTTAGGAGGGGAGACTTGAAGCTTTTCCCAAAAGCTTTGGCAGGATTGCTAAGCTGCACTGTTTTTTTTCCAAACTCATATATCTAGCTTTAGAAAGGAGAATTTTAGTTAAAAATATCCTCAGTGTCAGTTTGCCTGTGGATAGCTTTAGTAAGACCTGGACCCTTTTGAACACGAAGAAACCCTGTAGCTGTCATATTCGAAGAGGGGGATGTCAACAGCTTCAACAGTTATTAGTTCATGACGATTACAGCTGCTACTGATGTGTAAATAGTTTGGATGTTTTTTTTCCGGTGCTATTAGAACCAGGTTTTTTGCAAGTTCCTTCACTTAAAGTATCCGTTGCTGTGTAGAATTCTGTGCTTTATTCATGCAGTGTTTCTATGCTTTTACTGCTTTTAGATTGCTGCTTTGGTGGTTTCCTGCTGAACTTACTGTTTCTGTATTCATCTGAGCTGACCGTCATCCTCCTTCGTGCAGGGAAAATTAAGATGGCTTGGCAAAGAACAGTTAGAATATTCAAAGAAAATTCATTTAGATTTTAGGTCCTTAGATTTCCTTGTGCTAGTAATTGTCTGATTTTGTTCAGACAGGTGTGTTTTTCTTTTGGTTACTCAGCAACTCCAGGACTGTTAATGTGTTTAGTGAATTTTTATCGTCTTGATAATCTAGAAATTTTGTGTGGCTGAAGTTGGGCTTGCAAATAAGTGTCCTTAGAAGAGTGTTGTGTGGGGAGAGTGGTTTTGTGCTTTGCAAGGCTGGGTTGGTTCAGGCTCTAAATCAACCCCGATTTATGCAGATCCTCATGCTGATTTGCTCATTTCTTCTTTTTTTTTTTTTTTTTTCCCCCCTCCCCTCATCATGGGAAGGACATTCTGCTTTATTTAAACCTTGGCCATCTCTTTGGACTAGAGAATTGGAGATTAGGAGTGCAATCAAACCAGAATTTAAAAGTAGAGACGCTGATCAGTTGTATTTTTTGACTGTTTGGTCATGCCCCTAGTAACTGCTTTGGAAGAGTGTGAAGGATGCTCTTCTTTCTTGCTTTCCTTTATCAGAAAGTGTCAGTTGTGGGAAAGTGTGTTGACTGCCTGCTTCAAAAATTTGGTCTGTCGTTGATCTGCTTTTTTAGTAGCGTGATGGGCTTTTCCTGGGAAAAACATGATAATGAAAAAGAATTTATCTGTGTGGAAAATGTTTTGGCAAGGCATTGTCTTTCATACTCCTTCCTCAGTGAAGTGTGTTTCTCTCTCCCTGTGCAGCTGATATGGCTGAATTAAAAACATAGAAGGCATTTTGCCCCAAACCACCGTGACATCTCTCTGCAGCCCTCGGGAGCTGCTGCTGATGGCTGAAATTCATCTCTGTGCTTGTTCCACCAGTCACATCTGCCTTCAGCTCTCCTGCACAGCTTAAAACCCGCGAGTGAGCTGCATCCAGACGGGGCAACAGCTACACTGGGAGATGAAGAACAAACTTTGTCAATACTTCTTCCTTTTTATCTGTATTGTCACCTCTGGTGGCAACCTCCTGGAGGAGATTTGGGCGGCTCCTGACTTCATCCTGCAGCTACTTGCCGTGTACTGCTGCCTTTGTTTTAAAGGGGGACGAAACTCAAGAAGGAGTCCCCCAGAGTTGTCTGTATGGGATCTCAGTTTAGTGCTGATGCTGTGTTGGTGCAGAAAGTGCTCATCAAATGGAGAAGCTTAGGCGATTACTGTCTCAGGTGTTGGTAGTGATTTAGGCTAAACTCCTTTCTGTTGAAGGAAAACAGAGGAGCATTAATATATTCAAGGAAAGTGTCTCAACTAGGGGGTGAAGCTTATTAAACTGCTTTTGAACTGGTAGAAGTACAGACGGGAGATTAATGTCATCATGCCTTTAGTTGTAGCAATCATTAAAAGGGATTTGCTTTGAAAATAGGAGGGGAAGAAAACCATGTTGAAACTCCGGGCTTTGCCTCAGAAATAAAAACCGCTCTGATGCTTGGAACTGGGAAGCAGCTGCTGGAAACCCATCACTGCTGCCCCTTGGTCAGATTTAGTTTGTCTCGCTCATCTTCAAAAATGCTAAATGCTATTGGGAGGGCCAAGATTCTTGGAAAAAAAGGAAAATACATCACTTCCTCTGTTCGGTTGCTGAATGTTTCGCTAGAATGCATAGTTATTTTACTATAACTTGCATAATTTCATGGTGGTTTTCACTTTCTGCTGATCGGTCTTTCACACAGCACTACTAAAGTAGCACTTCTAAAAGAATGTAACATGCCATTATCCCCATCTCCCCTGAACAACAAAGAGCGTCAGATAGACTTGCTTCTGAGGCACTTCAAAGTTTCTCACATCACTCCAGAGAAATGCATCAATCTTCATGTTCAGATGTGCTTTAAAAAGGAAAAGTATCTTAAAAGGACATTTAGGCTGTCCATCTGCTACGACAAGTTAAAATGCTAATAAATGATCCTATTTCTCACTCTGAGAGCTATCAAGCCTTCCAATTTGATATGTGAAATTAAAATAGAATTCTGACGTTTCAAGCAATAGTTTTAATAGTTTTCTTTGTGTTTAAAAGCACTGAATTATCTTCTTTACACACTGGTCTAAAGTGTTGATTTAATTGGATTCAAGGTTTCAAGGCAGTGGTAAAACTTTTAATTTTCAGTCACGTTCTACCCCAAACCCACCAGAGTTAACAGATATCTTTCAGTTGAGTTTATGTGGTTTATGTTAAACCAATAGTGTAATACATATAAAGATTTTTAAACTCTTCTGAGCATGTAATGCACAGGTTTTTTTCATTATCTGAGAGTTTAAATACTTTATAACGAAAGCATGAGGTTGAGGTAATTACCTGTATTAGTAAGCATGCGTTGCATACTTGAAATGCAAGAAATGTGTTGTTGCTGGATGCATAGGCTTTATTTGATAAGAATACCAACAGTAGTCTTCACAGGAACTTGTTCCCTCTGTTCTTTTTTATAGGATGCGAGATACTGCAAGAAAAATAGAAGAAAAATATTTTTCCAATCTCGCAACGCATGTTGAGTTTCTTCCAGTTGAATGGAGGTCAAAACTTACCCTCGATGGAGGTACATTACTTGGTTCTTTTGCTGCTCCAGTTGCTGCAGTCTGCAAAATTGTCCCCAGAAGTTTCATACCGTGTCCTCTACAAGTGCCTTGTTTAAATTTTACCATTCTCCTGCGTGTAACTCAAGTCTCTCTCGTTTTGTTTTTTTTTAGACACCGTGGATTCTATTACTCCAGATAAAGTACGAGGTTTAAGGGATATGCTGAACAGCAGCGCGATGGATATCATGTATTATACAAGTCCTCTTTACAGAGATGAAGTAAGTGTGGTTTTATGCAAGTTTGACTAGAGCAGGGCATAGAGGCTGAAACAAACTGGGCTTAGGAATGTAAGCAAAGTTTCTGAGAGATCCTGTGTGAAGAATACTAACACTTTGCTACTCTATGATGGTCATCCAGAGTAATCAAAATACAGAGTTTTAAGAGTGCTAGGAGTAGAGAAACAGCAAAAAGTGCAATCTGTGTAATCATTTAGAGCAGAGCTGAGATGAGTCTGTATCAGCAGCTTGGAAATGGGAAGGTTTTTTACAGGATTTCATGCCATCTGTATATTCAGAGCGATGGGACTCCACCGAGCTGAGATTCTTCTTACCTCTTGCAAAATCTGTGGATGCTTGTCATTTCATTTTTGTCAGTTCTGCAGGCGGATGGGATGACAGCATGTGCAAACGTGCCCAAGCCAGTTTTAATGCATTTGTGTACACTTGCCTTGCAGAAAAGAAAGATGACCCTCAGTTACTCGATTGTTAGGGGAGTGTTGGTATCCTGGGCGCTCCCATCTTACCTTGTCACAGGTCTGTTGGCACATGTGTGCTTTAGTGTAGCTGTAGAATGACCCCGTTAATCAGAGGAGGAAAAGCCTTGAATACATGCTAAAGTAGCCTGTAAAACACGTACATTACATCACTATGCTTTCAAATATGCTACGCTTTCATCGTATGCTTTCCAAGTTATGTCTTAAGATAATGCTTCTGCAAAAGTTCCTTGCACAGAGCTTTTCAGGATGGGTGGGCTTGGTCTTGCCATGCCACCTCAGGGTAGTGCATATAACAAATGTCACACAGGGAAAAATAAAATCTCAAGTGCCATGTAGGAAACCATTGTCAGCAGAGCCAAAAAGGCTTCTTATATTCTGACTTCTAGTCTTAGTCTTTATCTTTTTTCCCTGCTGAGAGGACAAACATGCAGAAGAAGATCTGTTTATTCTCTGATTTGTGGTGCAGTCCAGAATATCAAATTTCAGTCTCATGTAGTATAGGAATACATGTAGAATGGACTAGAAACAAATACAGAACTTCTGGAAGTCCTTTCTTTGTTTTAGATAGGCTCCATTAGACACGAAATCTGTTTAATGTCAATTTGCTGTGCAATAGGAGCTGGTGCTCGTGCATTGCGTTATACTTGATGGGGGCAGCAAGGCTGGGCTGGCATTTGATGGAATAAATGGCGAACTGAAACATGAAGAGGGAATTCTGTATTTAACAAAAAAATGCCTTATGTTGAGTTTTGAATTGCAAGTAGTGTTTTGAGGTAGACTGCCCAGTTTGTTAAAGAACAAATGGTGGCAGTCCAACTAGTTTTGTGTAAAGTTGGGGAAACGCAAGGAATGAAAATGTGGGATGTTCCTTACCCCCATAAGCACAGTCTGTCTGGCTCGTGCCATCTCCTTTGAGCTGTATTCTAAAGAAAAATGTCAAAGGATATATGTACTTAAGAAGCTACTAATGCAGTCTTTTTTTGGTGACAGAAATGCTTTTCTTTCAGGATTGTGTGTCAAGATCTTGAACACCTGAGCGTGTAACCAGCTGGCATTAGCCTTGGGACAAAGTCTCCTTTGTGTGTCACACTTCTGAAAACCCCTGTGGGGACATTTTTCGGATTAGTTTCTACAGGAATTGTAGTTTTTTTCTGTTGACTACATTATGTATGGAGCAATGATCATCTTCTTGCAGCCTTGGTGCTCTGTGCATGGTTAGACTGGGGGCAGGGTGAGAGGAAAGAGACTTTCAAAGCTTACGTGAGAATTTGATACTACCTCTTGTTAAAATTAGGTACGTTTGTCCTTTAGACTGGCAACATAATTTTAAAACGTAAACTACCTAATAATAGTTCTTTTTCTGATAGCAGCAGTGGTGGTGGGATTGCTAAGAGCCTTTTAAGCTTCCAACACCAGCAACAGGTGTAGCAAAAGCTGCACCTCTCTTGTTGCTCAGTCATGCAAAGTTCATTCTTCAGGGCTTCTGGGTTCTCCATGGCGTATCAGGTTTCTCTCTTATGGAACTGAAGCCAGCATGAACTTTGTGACAAGCGATGAAAACTTCTCCATCAGCTTTAAAATAGATTCTTTTTAAACTGCATTAGATGCTCAGCATGTCTGTGGGCATCTTACGGGAAATGGATTAGTGAGTAAAGTTCAGGTATGCTGGCCAACAATGCATGAAAAATTTAATTCATTGCTCAGTAGAACTGTAGTTTTACAGGTATATCACCATCCCTCACGGACAATAACTGACAAATAAAACGTGTGCTGTGGCTGTGCTTAGATCTGATTACAAAAGACTGTTTTCATCAGTGAATCAAGGGAGTTTTCTTGAAATATTTGCAACGAGTTAATCATTACGTTACCGTATTCAGACCGCATGGATAAATCTTGCTCAAAAGCAAGGTTGTACGATTTGTATTGTCCAAAACCCAAAATGCTATTACAAATGAAATGTTAAAAACTTGAAGAACAAGTTTCTGAAATGCATCTTTCATGTTACAGCCAAAATTTTTGGGATGCAGGTTTTCTTCTTGTTCATTCAGCTACAGAGTTCGTGTTCTGCCAGTGAGTTGTCAGGAGGGTGACTTCTTGTTTGATTCAGCTCGTTTGGTTAGAAGTTGTGTAAAGCTCATAGTCCTTAAATGTTTTTTGCAGACTTTTTCACCTTTTATTTTGCCTTTACCTACAGAAAGACTTGGTTTGGGATTTGGGTTGGGGGTTTTTCTTGCTTACTCTTCCTTATCCCAATTTATTTTCCGTGACCTAACTTGACAGAGTTTAAGCACAATAGTATCAAGTAGAGCATTCTTCTGGAAAAACAGTTGAGTATTTTCCCATGTTCATTGTGGAGCTGTTTTGTGGCACTTTGCCCTGAGTGCTCAGAAATGAGCCTTGTCTTCAAAGTATTCACATGGTCACATGTTGCTCAGAATCAGTATTCCTGCTTGCCACTTCATCACACCAAGCCGATTCTTTGTGTACCGTGAACACTCCTAATACTTTCCATCCAGAAATCCAAAAAGTATCTCAAAAGCAACTAATTAAACTTTGCTGTGCTCCTGTGAAATAAATTGAGCAGTTCAGCAAGTTCAGCCTAGAGAAGAGTAAAGCCACTGTTCACCTGACAACACTCAGTACTTCGATAATGAATTTTCTTTCTACTTCTAAGGATTTTTTCCCACACCTAGAACTAATGTAACTGCTCCTTTAAAGCTTTTGAACACTCTTTAAACAACTTAAGGGATCTGCAAGTGGGTACCCACTGTCTTCTTTTAGGGGGAAGAAACCTTGTCGTATCATCTTTCACGTGAGGTAGCAGAGAGCTGTTTCAGGTGCAGATGGATTGCTCTGCTAAGCGTTACGGGAGCGCAGTGGATGACCTCCTCTCTGATTTCAAATATTGTTTCTTCTGTGACGTGGTAGGAGAATATCCAGAAGGTGCCTCTGACTTCTGACAATGCAATGTGATACCAGACAGGTATTAATAATTCAGTACAGCCCTATGAACATCTCAGACTGGTCTCAGAGTTCGCTCTGGACGACGTCAGCAGCCAGAAAATTCAGCTGTGGTGTTTGTGCGTGGCTGCAGGTGAGTTGTGCCATGCAGTGCTCACCTGCACAGTGATCCACAGGGAGTAAAACACAACCCCTCATTACACAGATAATAAGGAAAAGTGATAAATTGATATTTTGATGCACACATCTGTTTCTAAATGACCGATCATTTCACATTTTAATTCTGACCTTGCTAGTCCCATCTATGGTAATGTAATCTTGGGTTTTAATGTCTTCAGTGGCAGACTTTGTTTCACATCTGTGTCACTGTAGCTTCATATTTCTTTAATAATAAATGGCTATAGCAGAGATTAAAAAGACTAATTGATGCATAGTAAATTTAGTGTTGTCACCTTCATTATATTGTTAAGTGCTTATTTTACTGATCTTCACTGTACTTACTTGCAGGCTAATTGTAATTCTGTAAATTATTGATATTTATCTTGGCAGAAAATGCCTTTAGTACAGAATAAAGGTTATTTACATCTGTCATCCCAAACTCTCTAAAGATTTGGTGCAAATATTGCAGTAGCCTCAGAAGATTACTAGGAGATGTTTATGGATTGCTTCCGCCACAGCTGAAGTGCAGGGAGAGGTGGTGGTTATTGAATATTTCTCACCAGCTGAGGAAACGTAGAAGCCGGGGTCTGGGACATGGTGGCTGTGGCCTTGGGGTTGGAGGTGCTTAGGAGGCCAGGGGGAATGCAGTGTGTAATGTAGCTAACCTAGCATTGCTCCCTTGGGCAAACTTCACTGTCCACCTTGAAACGGCTTGATGGTTTGCTCTTATATTAAAAAGGAGAATTAATGACTGTGCTCTTGAAATTCAGGACAAGTATTAACTTGTACTAGAGCTTTCATCCCTCTTTGATATGAGGTTTTGCAATGGAAATGTCCTTCTCCTGTGCGCTCCTTTCAGCAATAAAAGGCAGTTGGTTTATGTGTGTTTGAAAACAAGAGGGATGTGAAGGAGGGAATTTTTAGCTGAGACTATTTCAACGCTGGTTTCAACTGTGTTGAACATTATAGACAAGGAGCTGCTTGCCAGCACTGTCATGGCTTCCTTAATTCATTTGATTGTCCTTGAATGTATAGTCAGCTTTATCAGGTGATTGGTTACTGGTTCTGCCTGAACCTAAACCTAGTCTTGAACACAGTAACTTGGTTAGAAATGGGTCAGACTCTACTTTCCAGTGGAGAGATGGGCACTGAGAGAAAGACTTGGGTCTGAGCAGATCCTTTTTCTGTAACGTCACTAAGACACGCAGCCATTCCTGTCTGTTCGCACAGCTTGTTCTGGCCTCTCATCTGTTGTTGTGACACTCTCCTGGCATACATCAGCGATGCTGTCAGGAAGCGTGACAACTGTTGTGTTCTGGAGGGTCAACACTCTCACCATTGATGCATTGTGAGCTGGCATGTTCTCCTGGTTCACGTGAAGCA